CCCCCTTCCCTCCCACTCTACAAGGATAGACTACAACCCCCCTCCATCCCCGCTCTAAAATGAGTGACAGCAACCCCCCCCATCCCCCTTAAAAGTGGTAGACTAGCAACCCCCCCCTTTTCCCTCATCCCCCCCCATAGTGGGGTAGAAGCAATCCCTCCTCCATCATCCCCCCTCCCCAATGGTAGACAGCAAAACCCCCCCCCATCACCCCCCCTCCCCTAGTGATAGACTAGAATCCCCCCCATATCCCACTCCACTAGTGAGTAGACAGAAAACCCTCCCCCATCATCCCACTCTACAAATGGTAGACTAGCAGTCCCCTCCTCATCCCCGCTCTATAGTGGTAAACAACCCCCTCCATCCCCGCTTACAATGAGTAGCTCAATTTTTCATCCCCCCCACTAGTGAGTAGACTAAACCCCCTTTCCCCTCCCCCGCCCACAAGTGAGTAAACTAGCAGTCCTCCTCCATATCCCGCTTACTGTGAGTAACAGCAACCCCCCTCCCTCCCCGCCCACAAATGAGTAACAGCAGTCCCCCCTCCCTCACCCCCCCTCCCCTATGGTAGACTACAACCCTCCTCCATCCCCGCTCTACAAGGAGTAGACTAAACCTCCTCCCTATCCAGCTTAAAGTGAGTAATAGCAATCCCCTTTACCCCCTTTTTTTAGTGGTAACTAGACCCCTCCTCCTACCCCCTCCCTAGTGAGAAGACTACAACCCTCCAATCATCCCCTCTACAAGTGAGTAGACTCAACCCTCCCCCATCATCCCAACTCTACTATGATAACTACAACCCTCCTCCCTCATCCCCCTTAAAGTGAGTAGATAGAAAACCCCCCCCATCTCCCCGCCTTTAAATGGTAGCGAACCCCCCTCCACATCCCAGCCTCAAGTTAGTAGACTACAACCCTCCTCCCTCATCCCCGCTCTACTAGGATAGACTGCAAACCCCCCCCCATATCCCCTAACAGTGAGTAAATAGCAACCCTCCCCCCTTTTCCCCCTCCACGTGAGTTTGACTAGAACCCTCCCCCATCTCCAGCTCTATGGAGCAACTAGAAAACCCCCCTCCACATCCAGCTCTACAGTGAGCAGATAGCAACCCCCCCCATCATCCCCCGTCTACAATGGTAGACTACAACCCCCCTCCATCACCAAGCTCTATATGAGTAATAGCAACCTCCCCCATCATCCCCGCTAACAAATGAGTAGACTAGAAACCCCCTCCATTTCCCCCCCCCATAGTGAGTAGACTAGCAACCCCCCTCCCTATCCCCCGCTTACTTGAGCGACTAGCAACCTCCTCCCTCATCCCCCTCTATAGTGATAACACAACCCTTTCCATCATCCCCCTCTTTAGTGAGTAACTAGCAACCCCCCCATCACCCCGCTCTACAAGTGAGTAGATAGCAACCCCCCTCCTCTCCCCCTTACTCTGTAGACTAGCAATTTCCCCCTCCCTTTATCCCAGCTCTACTTTTAGTAAATAGCAATTTCCCCCCCTATCCCCCTTACAGTGATAGACTAGCAACCCCTCCCCATCCCAGCTCATAGTGAGTAGAAGCAATCCTCCTCCATCCCCCTCCCCTATGAGTAGACTAGCAACCCTCCTCCTCATCCCATCCACTAGGAATAGACTGCAATCTTCCAACAACCCCCATAGTGAGTAATTAGCAATCCTCCTCCTCAACCCCCCCCCCTAGTGAGTAGACTAGCAATCCCCCTCCAATCCCCCCTCCCCTAGTGAGTGACAGCAAACCCCCCCCTCATCCCACCTCCACTAGGATAATAGCAACCCCCCTCCTCATCCCATCTACAATGAGTAACTAGAACCCCCCCCATCATCCCCCCCCCCATATAATAGACAGCAACCCCCTCAATCTCCCCCTCCCCTTTGGTAGACTACAAACCCCCTCCATCACCCCGCCTCAAGTGAGTAGCTAGCAACCCTCCCCCTTTTCCCCCCTCCACTATGAGTAACACAACCCTTCCTCCATCATCTCACCCCCACTAGTGAGTAAATAGCAATCCCCTTTCTATCATCCCCGCTCTATTGAGTAGACTAGCAACTCTCCTCCTTCCATATAAAGTGAGTAGCTAGCAACCCCCTTCCATATCCCCCCTCCCCTAGTGAGTAAAGCAAAACCCTCCCCCATCACCCACCCCAAGTGATGCTATTAATCACCTCTACTGCCACTTCCTTCCCCCTCTTTAAACCTCACTTCCCTCTCCCTTTTTCCCTTTTCCCCTTTTTCTCCCCCTTTTTTCACCCCTCCCCCTCCCCCCTCGGAAAGCCGAGCAGTAAAACCAAATTAAGACTGGTTTTCTCTTTTTTGTTTATTCTCTGGCAGATAAAATTAGCGTCTTCATTGCTTCATTTGAAGTTACTTCCAAGGTAGGAAAGGGGCTCGTCACATGACTTAAAAATTCCACCCCCAGTGGGCATCACGTAAACCAGACCCCCGAGGGAATTTTGTTGTTAGGAAAAACCAAAAATGCAACAGTTAGAATTATATTCCGAAACGTTTGCCACACAGAGGCTTCTTCAGTCGAAAACAAAATAGAGGAGCAGAGAGATTGAAGACATGTAATCAGTCCATCAAACCCCTTTAAAATCGTGAATTTAGGTTTCTCCCTCGGCCTGGAGAAGTTCAGTTCCCTAGTCAGGACTACGGAAGTTCCTGATTGGAAATGAACTTCCGGCCGGGGACTGACAAACCCCAAAATTTTACGCTTTAAGGGTGAGGACTGATTCATGTTTCAATTCTACTGCTCCCCTACTTTTTGTATTGACTGAAGAGCCCCTTTTGTGGCGAAAGTTTTGGAAAATAGAGTCAATTTTCATATGTGTCTTACCCAACAACCTGTCGGTATTGTATACCATTTTGATGTTCAGGAGACATTTTCTTGGCTCTCCTGACACTTCACGTCAGCGGGGATCAACCTCGTTAAAAGATGTGTCTGTTATGGTTAGCTCTGACTTCAGTCTGATCATGTAAGTGACTTTCATCTAAACTTCAGCAAAAAGCTAGCTTCGTGTCTTTCTTTCATCACTTACAAGGCATCGGTCTGAAGTATCCGGATGTGAGTTACAGAGGGAGCTTTCACTGGGGCAACGTTTCCCCCTGAGTAAAGGCCTTTAAAGCTCTACGCAGAGCGAAATGTCGTGCCAGTAACAGCCAGTAACTTTCATACGAAGTATTTTAGAAAAATTTAACGAGTATAAGAATATCGACGTAAACCTCGGTAATAGATACCGCAAGTGCTTTGAAGAAGTACGTGATCAAGCACCGGGACCGAAACGTTTTCTAATAAACATGTCCTAGTGTTTCGCTCACGTGTCTTTCTGAGCCCTCAATGAAACATTGTCATAATCTTTGGAAAATCAATTTATTTGTTGTAAGTAGTTAGTTGAAACTTCATTTCACCTCATTCGGTGGATTTTTTACACTTTTTAATATTCCAACTTTATTTACCTCTCGCCCATAAAAATCTGCATCATTGCTAGCCAGAAAGCGGACGTAGGATCGAGCCTTCACTGTTATACTTAGGTTAGGTTAGGTAAGGTTCGTCAGGGAACAGGACAAGTGTTTCCTGACGCATTGGGGAAAAGTGCTCTCGTGGATCGAGTCATGGCTCACTGACAGGAAGCAGAGAGTGTCCATAAATGGGGTTAAATCCGAGTGGGAATCTGTAACAAGTGGCGTTCCACAGGGATCAGTCTTGGGCCCGTAGTTGTTTATAATATATATCAATGATCTTGATGAGGGAATTACTAGTGATATGAGCAAATTCGCCGATGACACAAAGATAGGTAGGATAATTGATTCAAACGTAGATGTTATGGAACTTCAGGAGGATTTAAACAAACTCTATTCTTGGTCAGAAAAGTGGCAGATGCAGTTCAATGTAGATAAATGCAAGGTTCTGAAGCTTGGGAGTGCCCATAACCTTAGTACTCATAAGTTAAATGGTGTAGAACTTAGCCATACAGATTGCGAAAAGGACTTGGGGGTTATGGTGAGCAGCAACCTGAAACCAAGACAGCAAATGCCTAAGCGTACGTAATAAGGCAAATAGATTACTGGGATTTATATCAAGAAGTGTAAGCAACAGAAGTCCAGAGGTCATACTGCAGCTTTATACATCATTAGTAAGGCCTCACCTAGATTATGCAGCTCAGTTCTGGTCTCCATATTACAGAATGGACATAAATTCGTTAGAAAACATTCAGCGTAGGATGACTAAATTAATACATAGCATTAGAAATCTTCCTTATGAAGAAACATTGAAGATTCTTAAGTTACATTCACTTGTTAGACGAAGAATGAGGGGAGACCTGATCGAAGTGTATAAGTGGAAGATAGGTATTAACAAAGGGGATATTAATAAGGTCTTGAGGATGTCTCTCCAAGAGAGAACCCGCAGTAATGGATTTAAATTAGATAAGTTTAGATTCAGAAAGGACATAGGAAAGTGTTGGTTTGGAAATAGGGTAGTAGATGAGTGGAACAGTCTACCTAGTTGGGTTATTGAGGCTGGGACTTTGGGTAGTTTCAAATTTAGGTTGGATAAGTGCATGAGTGGGGGAAGGGGTTGGATTTGAGTGGGACTTTCACATCAGAGCTTATTTCTTGGGTGGCATTGAAAATTGGGTTGGGCAAATGTTTTGTTAGTGGGATGAACTGTAAAGGACCTGCCTAGTATGGGCCAGCAGGCCTCCTGCAGTGTTCCTCCTTTCTTATGTTCTTATGTTCTTATGAGTCTTAGATGATGACCCTTAGTTGGAGCTTTTGGTCATCTGACCGAGGACTTCCGCTGGCTTAAAATGGTCATTTATAACCATTTTAGTTAAATGGAGTACACAAGTTTTGCCTCTTTCTCAGTCTTCATTTTTTTGCCTTTGTTTGCTTAGGTTGAATTCAAGTAACCACTTATCTGACCAGTCTTACAGTACAGATCCATCTGTAGCCTTTCCTTGTCCATAACTGTTTTTATTCTCCACGTTAGTTTTACATCGTCAGCAAACAGAGATACATCTGACTCAGTTCCTTCTGGTATGTGTGTGTGTGTGTGTGTCAGGCAAGGCTTCACGCTACTGTGGACTGGAAGGACGCTGGGAGCCGCACTCGTCTGATTACCTGCCTTGTGCCACTCAGGACATCTTCACTCAGGTGAGTAAATAATCACTCGTCATCAGAGCCTGCCAGAGGTACTGCATATTCACACACACACACACACACACACACACACACACACACACACACACACACAACACACACACACACACACACACACACACACACACACACACACACACACACACACACACACTGTACAAATTACTAACATCTTTCCCTCGTTCTATGTTATTCCACTTTCTGAAATATCTGCTTTATTAAAGCACTATATTTTCCTTCCTAACAATCATTCCTGTTTATACACGTCTTTGTCTCATCCTAAGTCATAATTAACAACATACGATAATGTCAAGAAAATATCAACACTCTTTTCCAAGTGAATGTAAATGGCTCGTGTTAAATATTTTTTTCGTCTGTTCTACTAAATATTTGGTCTAATATTAACGGTATATTATCTACTTTTTTGTGGTTTCACGTTCATGTTGATGCATGAAAAATCTATCAGTATATGAAGGTAATCTATCGGCCGTTTACTTACAGATGCAGCCTCACTGACTGCCACAGTTATTTGTTTGTAGATGAATGGTTCAGAGAACCGACATGAGTTGCACATGTGTCTAATTTATTTGTTTGTAGTTAAGGTCACCAAATAACATGAATTCTTCTTCTTCACGGTTATTTTTTAGTGTTATGTAATCCTCAATTATCTTGTCGTACTCTTCTTTGTCTTGTTATCTGATGATTAGGATAGAGCTCGTTATGTTTATAATGTGACTGTCAGTGTCTTAGAGTATAATATATGCACCGATTGTATTACGCTTGCTGCGTAATACAATCATCCTTTGTAATCATCCCAGCATACATAAGGGGGATTACCAATAGACCCCTGGCTGTCTTCAAGCAGGCACTGGACAAGCACCTAAAGTTGGTACCTGACCAGCCGGGCTGTGGTTCGTACGTTGGTTTGCGTGCAGCCAGCAGTAACTGCCTGGTTGATCAGGCCCTGATCCACCATGAGGCCTGGTCACAGACCGGGCCGCGGGGGCGTTGACCCCCGGAACTCTCTCCAGGTAAACTCCAGGTTTGCAAGAAACGACGTAGACTCCTGTACTTTCTGCGTCAGAGTCCCTGTGTTTGGCTCTAGTTGGCACGAGATATCGCTGTTCCCCATCTGCAGGGCTTCCACCGACCTCACCATCACGCTTCAGAAGCAATGACACCATCGAGGACCTCGCTAGAGTCAGATACGACCACCGTCAAGTAGGCAACTCAGGAGACGAGCATCCTCTCTCTTACAGCGGATCTGACAAATACAGGGCGAGCTTCGCTAGATGTTGTCAGCCCTGTCAGCGGACACCACCGGTATGCAGGCAGAACGCATGATACAAACACTGCATGTGTTGTGATGAATGGTTTGAAAAACCGACAAGTTGAAGATTGAGAAACTTATGCAGCATATGGGAATCTTTATTGAGGAAACGTTTCGCCACACAGTGGCTTCATCAGTCCAATACAAAGAGGAAGGCGTAAGGAGAGGAGGAGAATGAGGTAATCAGTCCCTCAACCTGGAGTCGATGTGTTGTACATCAATACACCGACAATCTCTCAAATGGACAGATACTAAAATGTTATGGTGATACCGAGGTGTAGGTGAGAGTTGTGTGTATACGGATCATGAAGTTTATTAAGGAAACTTTTCGCCACGAGGGGTTTCTTCTGTATTATGAATGGAGAGACCACTCGTGGTGAGATGTTTAGTTGATGTCTCGATCAGAGCTTACATGTCTTATATCTACAGATGCTGAACTAGTTATCAGAGAACAAGACAAAGATGGGTGATAGAGACTGCCCTTATCACTACTGCTAACACTAATACTTATTGCAATTGCTAACACTTATCACTACTACTAACACTAACACTTATCACCACTGCTAACACTAACACTTACCACCACTGCTAACACTAACACTTATCACTACTACTAACACTAACACTTACCACCACTGCTAACATAAGAACATAAGAAGGAACACTGCAACAGGCCTACTGACCCATGCGGAGCAGGTACATGTCCCCCCCGATTAGCCCAATGACCCACCGAGTCTGGTCACCTCCACTCAAGGAAAGAGCACGGCACCAGACCCAGCAGCACAAGCTAGTCAGGTCCAGCTCACACCCACCCACACCCACTCATGTATTTATCTAACCTATTTTTAAAACTACACAACGTTTTGGCCTCTATAACTGTACTCGGGAGTTTGTTCCACTCATCCACAACTCTATTACCAAACCAGTGTTTTCCTATATTTTTCCTGAATCTGAATTTTTCCAACTTGAAACCATTGCTGCGAGTCCTGTCTTGGCTGGAAATTTTTAGCACTCTACTTACATCCCCTTTATTTATTCCTGTTTTCCATTTATACACCTCCATCATATCCCCCCTAATTCTACGCCTTTCGAGAGAGTGCAGATTCAGGGCCTCAGTCTATCCTCATAGGGAAGATTTCTGATACATGGGATCAACTTTTGTCATCCTCCTCTGTACGTTTTCCAGAGCATTTATATCCATTCTGTAATACTGTGACCAGAACTGAGCAGCATAGTCTAAATGAGGCCTAACCAAGGATATATAGTATTGAAGAACAACCTGAGGACTCCTATTATTTATACTTCTAGATATGAAGCCAAGAATTCTGTTAGCTTTATTGCGAACACTAATGCACTGTTGTCTGCTAACCAGAACTCCTAAATCCTTTTCGCAATTAAGATCTACATTATTTAGAACTTTGCATTTGTCTATATTAAACTGCATCTGCCACTTCTCCGACCATTGCATCAGTCTATTCAAATCATCCTGGAGTGCTCTAGTGTCCTCATTTGAATGAATTGGATGGCCTATTTTGGTGTCATCAGCAAATTTGCTTATGTCGCTATTTATTCCCTCATCTATGTCGTTTATGTAAATTGTGAACAACAACGGGCCTAATACTGACCCCTGAGGAACACCGCTTGTGACGTGCCCCCATTCTGATTTCTCCCCATTTATGCAAACTCTCTGCTGCCTATTTGTCAGCCATGCCTCTACCCAGGAAAAAATTCTCCTCTTATTCCGTGTGCCTTAAGTTTCCTCGGTAGCCTCTGATGTGGAACTCTATCGAAAGCCTTACTGAAGTCCATATACACAATATTATATTCATTACCATGATCTACCTCCTCAAACACCTTAGTGAAAAAAGTTAGTAAATTCGTAAGACAGGAACACCCCTTTGTAAAACCGTGTTGAGATTCATTAATCAATTTATGCCTATCAAGATGGCTACGAATTGCTTCGGCAATTATTGATTCCATAAATTTTCCTACTATGGAGGTAAGGCTTATTGGTCTATAGTTCGAAGCCAAGGACCTGTCACCTGCCTTGTAAATAGGTATTACATTTGCCATTTTCCACTTATCAGGCACTATGCCAGTTTGTAGTGATATGTTAAAAAGATTAGCCAAAGGTATGCTAAGTTCCTCGTTACATTCCTATAACACCCTTGCAAACAGTTCATCAGGACCTGGGGATTTGTTAGGCTTTAGTTTCTCTATTTGTCTGAGGACCATGTCGCTAGTTACCGCAATCGTGCATAGTTTATTATCGCCCTGTTCTACATAATCTATTATTTCAGGAATATGGCTAGTATTTTCATGGGTGAAAACCGAGAGGAAGTAGGTATTGAGAATTTCACACATATCCTTATCACTGTCAGTGATCTAACCAGAGTTACTCTTAAGTGGGCCAATCTTGTCTCTAATCTTACCTCTGTATACCTGAAAGAACCCTTTTGGGTTAGTCTTTGAATCCCTTGCGACCTTAGCCTCATAATCCCTTTTTGCTTTTCTTATTCTTTTCTTTATTTCTCTCTTTAATTGAATATACTGATTTCTTAACTGCTCATCTCATTTTTTGATACGCCTATACATGCCTCTCTTTTGAACAATGAGATGTTTTAATCTATTGTTCATCCATTTGGGATCATTTTTGTTAGATCTAATTTCCCTACTCGGAACAAAAGTTGTCTGGGCAGCTAGAACTATGCTCTGAAAAACGTCATATTGGAAACCAAGATCACCTACCTGACCCATAGTCAGGACATCCCAATTTAACCCACCCAGGTAATTTTTCAGTCCCATGAAGTCGGCCAAGCGAATATTTGGGACAGAGATTTGATTGCGGTTATCTGGGTAATTCCATGATATATTGAAACTATTTGTGATCACTTTCCCCAAGCTCATCATTAACCTCAAGATTATTCATTAGTGAATCTTTGTTGGCAAGAACCAAGTCAAGCAGATTGTTTCCTCTAGTTGGTTCTGTCACAACCTGTTCTAAAAGGAAATCCTGAACCGTATCAAGAAAGTCACTAGACTCAAGATTTCCTGTCATATTGTTCCAATCAATTTGTCTCAAGTTAAAATCTCCCATTATCACAACATTTTCATATCTAGATGCCTTATGAATTTCGTCTCATAACAGCTTACTTCCCTCCCTATCAAGGTTTGGGGGCCTATAAATCGCACTCAAAACTAATTTGTCACGACCCTCGAGAAACTGTAGCCAAACAAATTCTGTGTTCGATGTTTCTAATCTTATATCATGTCTAAGACAACAATTTAAATTTTCTCTGATATACATCGCCACTCCACCACCCTTCCTGTTGACTCTATCAGTGTGGAATAGTTTATAACCCTGTATGTTGCATTCAGAAGGCATTTCTCTATCTTTCAGGTTGAACCAGGTCTCTGTTATACCAATAATATCTATATCATCTACACTTGCAAGTAATCTTAGCTCATCTATCTTATTTCTTAGACTCCTACTATTTGTATAGTAAACCTTAAGGGAGCTAGTCACTCGTTGCCCTCTACTATCTTTGTTGATCAATTGATTTGCCATTACTAGTAACTTTATTTTGAATACTGTCCTTTTAAACTTATCGCCACCACTAATAATACCAAGACTTATTAACACAACTAACACTACCATTTATCACCACTACTAACACTTACCATCAACACTGTTACACAGAACCAAGGTAGCTTCATGTTAGCTGCAGTGTACAGTGTACACCCTGCAAAGAACACACTGTACACACTGCAGTGCACACGGTTTGCACCCCGCAGGGCGTACACACTGAACATCTTGCAATATATATACTCCTCTGTATCATATATTCTTTACTGACACAATAGAGCCCACTACGTGGGCGAAACGTTGTCGTAAACATAAATATCCATTACATGTACGTGCCGTTTACTTCCACCTTCTCGATATTTACACACTATTCCAGTACCAACAGTCTCTACCCAGTTTGGAAATTTACAGGGATTAAAAACACATTTATTTTCCCCACAGAGTAAATACACGAGAAGTGTGACCTCAATAACGCAGTAAACAGATTACAACGTTACTGTTATTCCCACGATATACGTCTGAATTTATTATATATATATAATAATATATATATATAATATATAAAATATATATATATATAATATATATATATAAAATATATATAATATATATAATATATATTAATATATGTCGTGCCGAATATTAAAACTGGCCAATTCCAAGAACTCATTTAAAATTAAGTCCTTTCTAAAATTTTCACTTATTCGTTTAAAGATATATTTTTTCATTAATGTTAATGTAAAAAATTTAAATTTTGCTCCAGAAGAATCTTAGAAAACTTACCTAACCTTATTATAACAAGAACAATTTATTTTAGCCTAACCCAACTAAATATATTTTAGATTTGTTTACAATAATTTAATACTAAACAAACACAGTAAAATATATTTTTTTCGTTAGGTTCAGAATGATTTTTGCGAAATTATTGCATACACGGATTTTCGCTTGCCTTATTCGGCAAGAAGAGCGTTGCTATTGAATCCAAAATCACAAGTTTTACATATTCGGCACGATATAAATAAGCCTGGCTTCCCTTTCCTTGCTTCAGTGACAATTAGAGGATGAACACTTACGGTTCTCATTTTTTCTCCCTCCCACTCTACCTCTCAATATTTCCATTCTCTCTCTCTCTCTCTCTCTCTCTCTCTCTCTCTCTCTCTCTCTCTCTCTCTCTCCTCTCTCTCTCTCCCCCTCTCTCTCTCTCTCTCTTCCTCTCTCTCTCTCTCTCTCTCTCCTCTTTACAGGACCAGTTGTTGGGATGGGGAAACTGGAGCGGGATTGAGCTTGAAGACTCCACCAGCCTCCTGGAGACAGTGCTGGCAGCTCGCTACCAGCTCTGTGTCGAACTGAAGCGCAGCTTTCCTCACCCCACCGACGGTAAGTACCACACACCAGGCTTATCCTCAGTGCTCGACACACACCCAAGACACGCTTTCACAGGGAAAGAAAAATGTTTTACTCTGTATGCAACTCTAACACGACTTGACTCAGCTGTGCAGAGAGCGAAACGTTTTTTCCCGTCAGTGCTTCCTTTGCAACGTGAAGGCTAACTAGTTACTGAATTCATTTTATCCCCATTTAACTATAGTAATCTTCTTAAAATGATTGTGAGAGATCGAAGTTGACTCAATAAATATTGAATATCACATGAATCACCCATGACAAATCTGCCATCACATGATTTAAGGGAATAAGAGGTAAAAAGTACATGTGCTAGGAATAAGGAAGGTTTAAAAGAAATAAAGAATAGAATAACCAGCTCAAGTTAGGAGTGTCTTAGATCAAGCCTAATTAGCATTCTACGTTATTGTTGTGGCCTTGCACATCCGGTCAGGGGGATTTAGACGGCAGAAAGTGTTGACAAGATTTCCCTTGAAAACGGCAGCTGCTGCACCTTCATGCTGTTGATGCTGGCCTCAATATTAAGGCTGCTGTCCTCCGTGTTAATGTTGCTGCCTTCCAAGTTAAATGCTGCTGCCCTTCAGCACAGGATCTTGTATGTAACCACGGCGAAACGTCTCGATGGTGAAGATACCTGGGTGATGTGTCTTGTTCACCAGTTTTTTTGATGCTATATACTATTAATGGAACAATAGAAGGATACAGAATACCCATGGTACACCAGGAAGACCTAGGCTCTACATTCGAGCCGGATGTAGGGCCGTGGCCTTCCACGGCTCTATATCCGACTTCCTCACACGACAAACAGCGCCACACAGCACAGAGCCTCGCGCAACATAGAGCCTTATACAGCAGACATAGAGCCTCTCATGACACAGAGCCTCCCCAGTGTACACAGATCCATACACAGCACACAGAGCCTTACATAGCAAATACAGCTTTACACAGTGCCTCACATGACACAGAGCTTAACGCATGAAACAGTGCCTAACACTGAACATACAGAGCCTCACACAGCATACATAGAGCCTCACACACACAGACTCACGTAGTAAACACAGCCTCACACAGCCTCACATAGCCTCACACAGCCTCACACAGCCTCACATAGCCTCACACAGTCTCACACAGCCTCACACAGCCTCATACAGCCTCACACAGCCTCACACAGCCTCACACAGCCTCACATAGCCTCACACGGCCTCACACAGCCTCACACAGCCTCACACAGCCTCACACACCCTCACACAGATTAACATTCACCATATCCACCTTCAAAATTAAATACATACCTCTTAAACATCCTCTCCCACTTTACACTATTTCCAGCGTCACTTTTCCAGCGTTCTCTGTAACCTCATAAATACATAACTACTGGGAAAGTTACTGACAATACAATATGTTAAGGACGCTACACTAACTAATGGGACGTTTATTGCGGTCATGTTTCGCCCGCTATGTGCTTCATTAATCTTCTGTCGAGTGAAAAGTAGCCTTCCTGGCAGAGGACGCCAGGGGTGATAGTGGCAGAGGATGACAGGAGTGGTGCTGACAGATGATGATAGGGGTGGTGCTGACAGATGATGACAGGGGCGGCGCTGACATGACGACAGGGGTGGTGCTGACAGATGATCACAGAGGTGGTGCTGACAGATAATGATAGGGGTGGTGCTGACAGATGATAACAGGGGTGGTGCTGACATGATGACAGGGGTGGTGCTGACAGATGATGACAGGGGTGGTGCTGACATGACGACAGGGGTGGTGCTGACAGATGATCACAGAGGTTGTGCTGACAGATGATGACGGGTGGTAGTGGCAGAGGATGACAGGGGTAGCTCTGACAGATGATGACAGAGGTGGTGGTGACAGATGATGACAGAGGTGGTGGTGACAGAGGAAAACAGTGTTGGTTCTGACAGAGGATAACAGTGGTGGCTCTAACAGATGATGTCAGGTGTGGTGCTGACAGATGATAATGACAGGGATAGTTCTGACAGAGGATGACAGGGGTAGTGCTGAAAGAGAACCGAGAACTCCCGCCCTGGCAAGCACCCAGCAGCTAGCACACCAGCACTTCCATCGTCCCCCACAAGCCTCCAGAGACGCCATCTACCTCGACCTTCCCCAACACCCGCAGCGTATACATACACGCATACATCCTTGCTTGTATACCAGTGTATGTATCCTTGATCATGTGGGATGTCACCTGAATATAAATAATGATGAATAATAGAAAATATCACAGGAAATACATATATTCATTACTATAGTCACGCCAAAACTCGATAATGCATTAATATTTTTTTTCGTCTCCCTCGTCTTCCTCCTCCTCTTCCTCTTCTTCCTTCTCCTCCTCTTCTTCCTTCTCCTCCTCTTCTTCCTTCCCCTCCTCTTCTTCCTTCTCCTCCTCTTCTTCCTTCCCCTCTTCTTCTTCCTTCCCCTCCACTTCTTCCTTCCCCTCCTCTTCTTCCTTCCCCTCCACTTCTTCCTACTCCACATTCCTACTCAATCATTTTCCGTCCAGCCTCAACCCTCTTCCTTCCTTCTCCTTACCAGGGATCTCATCATGGTGATCCAAAGGAAGAGACCGGTGAGAGTGTTTACGGGGGGTAGTGAGTGTTTACGGGGGGTAGTGAGTGTTTACGGGGGGTAGTGAGTGTTTACGGGGGGAGGGGGGGAGTGTTTTACGGGGGTGGTGAGAGTGTTTACGGGGGTTGTGAGAGTGTTTACGGAGGGGGATGAGTGTTTACAGGGGAAGTGAGAGTGTTTACGGAGGTAGTGAGAGTGTTTACGGGGGAAGTGAGAGTGTTTACGGGGGTAGTGAGAGTGTTTACGGGGGTAGTGAGAGTGTTTACGGGGAAGTGAGTGTTTACGGGGGTAGTGAGAGTGTTTTACGGGGGTTGTGAGAGTGTTTACGGGGGTAGTGAGAGTGTTTACGGGGGAAGTGAGAATGTTTACGGGGGCAGTGAGAGTGTTTACGGGGTAGTGAGAGTGTTTACGGGGGATGGTGAGTGTTTACGGGGTAGCGAGAGTGTTTACGGGGGTAGTGAGAGTGTTTACGGGGGGTAGTGAGAGTGTTTACGGGGGATGGTGAGTGTTTACGGGGGTAGTGAGAGTGTTTACGGGGGTAGTGAGAGTGTTTACGGGGGTAGTGAGAGTGTTTACGGGGGTAGTGAGTGTGTTTACGGGGGATGGTGAGTGTTTACGGGGGGTTTGTGAGAGTGTTTACGGGGGTAGTAAGTGTGTTTACGGGGGAAGTGAGAGTGTTTACGGGGGTAGTGAGAGTGTTTACGGGGGTAGTGAGAGTGTTTACGGGGGATGGTGAGTGTTTACGGGGGTAGTGAGAGTGTTTACGGGGGTAGTGAGAGTGTCTACGGGGGATGGTGAGTGTTTACGGGGGTAGTGAGAGTGTTTACGGGGGTTGTGAGAGTGTTTACGGGGGTTGTGAGAGTGTTTACGGGGGTTGTGAGAGTGTTTACGGGGTTGTGAGTGTTTACGGGGGTAGTGAGAGTGTTTACGGGGTTTGTGAGTGTTTACGGGGGTTGTGAGAGTGTTTACGGGGGTTGTGAGAGTGTTTACGGGGTTGTGAGAGTGTTTACGGGGTTTGTGAGTGTTTACGGGGGTTGTGAGAGTGTTTACGGGGGTAGTGAGAGTGTTTACGGGGGTTGTGAGATTGTTTACGGATGTAGTGAGATTGTTTACGGATGTAGTGAGATTGTTTACGGATGTAGTAAGATTGTTTACGGATGTAGTAAGATTGTTTACGGGTGTAGTGAGATTGTTTACGGATGTAGTAAGATTATTTACGGATGTAGTGAGATTGTTTACGGATGTAGTAAGATTGTTTACGGATGTAGTAAGATTGTTACGGATGTAGTGAGATTGTTTACGGATGTAGTGAGATTGTTTACGGATGTAGTGAGATTGTTTACGGATGTAGTAAGATTGTTTACGGATGTAGTGAGATTGTTTACGGATGTAGTGAGATTGTTTACGGATGTAGTAAGATTGTTTACGGATGTAGTAAGATTGTTTACGGATGTAGTGAGATTGTTTACGGATGTTAGTGAGATTGTTTACGGATGTAGTGAGATTGTTTACGGGTGTAGTAAGATTGTTTACGGGTGTAGTGAGATTGTTTACGGATGTAGTGAGATTGTTTACGGATGTAGTGAGATTGTTTACGGATGTAGTGAGATTGTTTACGGGTGTAGTGAGATTGTTTACGGATGTAGTAAGATTGTTTACGGATGTAGTAAGATTGTTTACGGGTGTAGTGAGATTGTTTACGGATGTAGTAAGATTGTTTACGGATGTAGTAAGATTGTTTACGGGTGTAGTGAGATTGTTTACGGATGTAGTAAGATTGTTTACGGATGTAGTGAGATTGTTTACGGGTGTAGTGAGATTGTTTACGGATGTAGTAAGATTGTTTACGGATGTAGTAAGATTGTTTACGGATGTAGTAAGATTGTTTACGGATGTAGTGAGATTGTTTACGGGTGTAGTGAGAGTGTTTACGGGTGTAGTGAGATTGTTTACGGGTGTAATGAGTGTTTACGGGTGTAATGAGAGTGTTTACGGGGTGATGAGAGGAGTGTTGAGGACGAGGCGGTAGAGTTGTGGTAGACGCCAGTGTTCCAGCCACCAGGATGTGTGTGTATGGAGAGAGAGAGAGAGAGAGAGAGAGAGAGAGAGAGAGAGAGAGAGAGAGAGAGTACTCACCTAATTGTGTGTGTGTGTGTGTGTGTGTGTGTGTGTGTGTGTGTGTGTGTGCGTGTGTTGTGTTGTGTGTGTGTGTGTGTGTGTGTGTGTGTGTGTGTGTGTGTGTGTGTGTGTGTGTGTGTGTGTGTTCTTTTCCACAGACTTCTTGTACATGTCAGTAAATTGAGAACACTTTCTTACAGTATCTCAGTAGAGTAAATGTCAAGTTATCTCTGTATATCCTGATCTTCCATTATCTATCTGGCGGA